TAAATATATAAATATATTTTAATATATATATGTATGTATGTGTGTGAGTGTGTGTATGTATGTATATATATATAAATATATATGTATACCTGTTTCGGCTTAGCCAGGTTCTTCTTTTGCGTGGTGAATGGTTGAGCATATACGTTGTTGCTTGCACTCGGGGCCACAGGACTGGCCATACTGGGTGACTCGGAATACATGGGAGGGAACTGCGCTGTGGTGCTAGCGGGAGGGTTCTTTGACCCGCCACTGGCCCAGATACCTCTATTAGGCGTGACTGTGCGCGTCGTTGTGGTCACTGTATAGAACATTGAAGGATAGAGAACAAGGGTTTAAGTACACATATATATCCACAGGTACACATATATATCCTCTACTAGTTGTGGGTGATATACCCATCGAATCAAGTGTGTGGGTGACAGAATTTACAAATAATACACACACATGAGTGTCATTTACGCCGGAGTGGTAGCGGGAGCATTCGTTGAACCAGCACTGAACTAGATAGCTCTAGTAAGTGTGACTGTGCAATTTAGGGTGGTCATTGTACGTAACATGCAGGGGATAAGCAACAGAGATATGATAATGAGACGCACACACACACACACACATATATATATATATATATATATCACAAGCGATATATACATGTAAATACATTATCCGAGCTTGCTGATGGCATACGTGGTGGAGGGTTGAAGGTGCTGTTTGCATATGCCGCGGGATTGACATTGCGTCCACTACTGAGTGGTGGATCGTTGGCACTGACCAGACCGCTCCGAGAGGGGCCGTTCCCATTCGCCCACATTCCTGTGTGCATAGCATAACGCATAAGAAAGAGATAGGTATTTGAGAATGCGTATGTACAAAACAAATCCGAAGGAGATACACAGGTACGAAACACATCCGAAAATAAATAGATATTTGAGTGTATGTGTGTACAAAGCAACTACTAATTCGATACATACGGTACAAAACACAGAACAAATATACACATAATTGAGTGTGCGTGTATACAAACTAAATACGAATTAGATACATATGGTACAAAACACAAAAGAGATATATATACATATTTGGGTGTACGTGGGTACCAACCAAATACGACTTAGATACATATGGTACAAAACACTTAACAAATATGTATATATTTGACTGTACGTGTGTACAAACCAAATCCGAATTAGATTTATATGGTACAAAACACATATGGAATTCATACATATTTGGGTGTGCGTATGCACAAACCAAATACGAATTAAATACATATGGTACAAACACATATGGAATTCATATATATTTGGGTGTGCGTATATGCAAACCAAATACGAATTAGATGCATGTGGTACAAAACACATATGGAATTCATACATATTTGGGTGTGCGTATATGCAAACCAAATACGAATTAAATGCATTTGGTACAAAACACATATGGAATTCATACATATTTGGGTGTGCGCATATGCAAACCAAATACGAATTAAATGCATTTGGTACAAAACACTAATAATAAAATTCATACATATTTGGGTGTGAGTATGTGCAAACCAAATACGAATTAGATACATACGGAGCATGTACGAAACGCACAAACAGACTATCGATGACGTATGCGCATATACAAAAGGCATAAAAGAGACTATAGATTGCGTGTTTGTGCGCACAGACACCGTCAGTAATATTAGTGCTACCTACTACACTATACGTTACCTCGATTAGTTTTGGGAACGACACTAGTTGATGGTACGGGAGGAGGGAAGTTCTCCATTTGTTTCTGCTTTGACTTGTAGTCATTGTGGTAGGCTAATAGTTCTTTCTGTGTAAAAATATGTGTAAACATAAATGTGAATGTGGACGTGTTTGCTATAACTATAACTATAACTATATCTTTATATATATATATATATATATACATGTGTGTGTGTGTGTGCGCGAGTATGTACGTGTGTGTTTATATACATATATATGATATATATAAATATATATATGTATCTATATATACATACAAACAAACAAACAAACAGACATACATACATACATACATAATATATATATATATGCGTGTGTGTGTGCGTGCGCGCGCGTGTGCATATGTGTGTGTAAATATATATATATATATATATATATACTACATATACATGTATATATATATGCATGTACATATATGTATACATATATATATATATATAAAAGTACACCTATATACACCTATACATATGCATATACCTATACGTATTGATATACATATACGTATACGTATTGATATACAAAAACGTATACGTATATATATATATATACATATATGTATGATGTAAAAATACATCTACGTAAACTCGATTGTATAATATTATAGCTATAGACACTTACATACTCGATTATGTACGATACCAATAGGTATATCTATGTACACTCAATCGATCAAACACATACTCCATACGCATGTACAGGACATGACATTTACCTGCTTATTCAATTCAGGCAGTAGCGAAACCAGCTCAGAGAACAGACTGGCCGCTCTGGGGCCCAAAAGCTTGTTGAACTGCAAGTAATATTCACCCGAAGTCAATGCATTTGCTGCGGGACAGAAAAGGTCCCAAATGGCGTGAGAAGGTGGGACCCAGTTGAGCTACAAAGGACACTACGGAGAAGGGCTACAGCCTACTGCAAGTCGATCGACTCATGATACAGCACTAAACTATAAATATAACTACTGAGATGTTAATGCATCTGCTGCGGGACATAATAGGCCCCAAATGGCGTGAGAAGGTGGGACCCAGTGGAACTACAAAGGACACTATGGAGAAGGGCTACAGCCTACTACAAGTCCATCGACTCATGATACAGCACTAAACTATAAATAAAACTACTGAGATACAGCCTACTACAAGTCCATCGACTCATGATACAGCACTAAACTATAAATAAAACTACTGAGATGTCAACGCAATGATACAGCATTGAACTATAAATAGAACTACTGAGATATCAATGCATTTGCTGCGGGACAGAACAGACTCCATGTAGTGTGAGAATGTGGGACCTTCCTGTGCAATAAATAAAACCTCGGATAAGAGATTCAACAGGGACGATAACCAGTCCAGGAGCTAAATGGTATTTGATTGTACATAGTACGTCTGGTATTGTACTCAATGGCGATCGACTGATCATACGGTGTTGTATTATGAAAAAGTACTGTATACTGAGATGTTACAGCGCCCATCGTAAAACAGCATACACACATCAGGGCATGAGTGAATAAGCATAAACGATGAAGAAGTGCGAATGTCTTCAATATACACATAAAATATAAAAAGATAGGATAAGACAAACACACACACACACACATATCTATATATATATATCTTACTTCTGTATGTCTTGCTAATGGGCTTAAACACTTTGAACAAGATAACATATAACTAAACCCTACTTACTTCTATATGCCATGCTAATGCGCTTAAACACTTTAGACAAGATAACATATAACTAAACCCTACTTACTTCTGTATGCCTTGCTAATGGTCTTGAACTCTTGGAACTTGACTGGGTCGTAGCTCAGCGCTTCCTTTATGTCCTGGATGAGAACGGAGTTTCGTTCGGCTGCGTTTTGGGGAATGGGCGCCATTTCAGTTTGCGACACCGCCCCTGTGGTTCAAATGGAGTTGTGTTGTCGTTAGGAAATCAATGCAAGATAGCTGATAGGACATGAAATGTGGCGCAGAAGAAGTTGTGTTGTCAGTAGGAAATCAATGCAAGATAGCTGATAGGATTTGAAATGTGGCTCGGAAGAAGTTGTGTTGTCAGTGGGAAATCAATGCAAGATAACTGATAGGATATGAAATGTGGCTCAGAAGAAGTTGTGTTGTCGTAAGGAAATCAATGCAAGATAGCTGGTAGGATATGAAATGTGGCTCAGAAGAAGTTGTGTTGTCGTTAGGAAATCAATGCAAGATAGCTGATAGGATATGAAATGTGGCTCAGAAGAAGTTGTGTTGACAGTGGGAAATCAATACAAGATAACTGATAGGATATGAAATTGGCTCAGAAGAAGTTGTGTTGTCATTAAGTAATCAATGCAAGATAACTGATAAAATAGGAAATGAGGTAGATAGGCGATGGTTTGCTTAGAGCTGAGGACGTCTAACGGGAATAGTACGCAAGCACAGGGTCACACAGAACGCAATGAAATACAAGTATACTAGCATACACATATGAAAATGCATATGCAGTATACGTATACGAGCTCACCCACGCACACACACCCCTCTGAACCCCATCTACATGCAAACAATATACATCACTACAGACCACACGCACACACCCTTGATGACAGAACTGCTAGGGCCAGCAATACTCACAACGGCCTCAGACCACTTGGACTCCTTGGGACAAGCGTTGCTTAGCATACCCTATCCGCATGCACATATTCAACCACACGTACACACATACACAGACACAGACACACATACACAGACACAGACACACTCATACACGTACACCGACACAGACACACAGACACACATACATACATAATAAATACACAGACAGACACACATACACAGACAGACAGACAGACACAGACACACAGACAGACACACACCTCTCTCAAACCCAACCACGTGTACACCTTATACATCCATACATACCACAGGCACACCTCATTCCTCTACACCGTCCACACACGCTTACCCTTCTTGGCAGGGCTCTTGGGGCGGTCATTGCTTGTGGGCCCCTCAGGCCTCTTGAACTCCTTGGACAAGTGCCGTTTACCACTCTCATTGCTCGCATTGGCTTGCGACGCGATTTCCGAATGATTCAAGGTGGTACCAAAACCGGTCGGTGCCTTCCTCCTTCCGCTTTTTGATTCGTTGCTATTATTAGAACTATTATTATTGGTGGCTGTACCATTATTGTTTTTGTTGTTGTTGTTTGATGACGTCGTCGTTGACGAGAATTCGCCCTGGATACTCGCAAAGTTGGCGTCGGTATTGGGCTTTG